AAGGGCCATTTCTGGGGCATCAAGAGATTAAACCAAGACGATGAAGAAGCCTAGTGTGGGTATGTGATAGGGTGTACAATAGGGTGTGCAACGTGGTATACCATAGGATACGCCTTAGGGTATGCCGTAGGGTATGCATTGGGGTACGCCGTAGGGTATCCAACAGGATATGCAACAAAAAGCCCTTCTCCACTTGCACCAAGACATTTCCAACCGCAGGGACGTACCGGGCACTGGCTCTGGCCGGAGGCCGGCGTGCGCTCTGCAGCGGGCTCTGCTGCTCTGTGGCGAGATGTGCGTTTCGTGGTGGTGGGTTGGCTTTTTTTTTTTTTTTATTAAAAGAAGGTATCAGCCTTCTGTTTGATGTGTTGTTGGCTGCGGTTGCTAAGGGGAGCAGTGTACAATTACAGCCCCAGTGATGTCCACTCTAATAATACACTTGGCTCTGCATAGCTCAGATGCAGACACAGCTCTGCTATAAAGAGCACGGCCGTTTCAACAGAGGAATACTCCAACTTATGTTACATGTGAAGGGTTTGTGGCACATGGCTTAACACCCCCCCCACTGAAAAAGAAAAGCACCGCAGCCGGTACAAGCCAGCGAGGGAAACTATGACAAGCAAAACCCTCTCGGAAGAGACGTACTTTCAATTTAGATTTCCATTAAGAAGGTATTTCTAGAGGGGGGAAGAAACCATGCACGTGGCCACCAAGATGTTCTTGTGTGCCCCCATCCACCCAAGCTTCCTGGGCCCAACTGAGCCAGGTCCATCCCAAAGGCTCGCGCAGCCCAAAACTGCTCCGTGTACCAAACACCAAACCAAACTCCATGAGGAGAAAATCAAACCCAAATGACGCCCCTCTCCAGGGCTGAGCCCCCGCGTGGCACCATCTCCCCAAGCTCAACCAGCTGCCCACTCCATGCCTCCCCTTTCTACATCTCCCTTAAGTATCCCGAAAGATTCGCAGCACCCAAATTCAAGCCTCAGCCAAGATTTGGGACCGAAACACTGAATGAAGGATAAATTCAAACCAGAGTTTTCCAGATAGATTCCCTTCAACCCTGAAATGGTGCAACGCCGGCCGGGGGGGATGCTCTTTAGAGGAACTGCCTGCAGGGAGGGGGATGATGACAGCATTTCTGCACCGGCATCTGTTTTGGGATCAAAACAAGTCCCCTGAGATAAGCTGTGAACATGTGCAGCCCCCAAGCCCGAGCACCTTGTCAACAGCTGAAAATATAAGAAGAGACAGGTTAAAAAGCCAGTTTATTGCCTGCTCTGTGGGAATAGCCCTCGCCGCTCGCTTTAAGGTCCAGCGGGATATAGGGATGCGGTCTGTAGGTACCGGGATGCTGGTAGGGTGGCACCAGGGGTTAATGCATTAATTTATGAGATCCTCCGGTGGGGCTGAGCCGTTGCTATCGCAGTCCCAAGAGAAACGGACAAACAAGCCCCTACAAAACAGGAGCATCTGCCGGGAGCAGATGGGGGGGCGAGCGATCCGGCCCCAGGCGCCAGCAGCACTGAGGGGGGGGATCACGTTGATCCCGATTTATCACACCCCGGCAGAGTAATTCCCCAGCTCGCCAGTTCCCGGCGAGCCGAGCTCCTTACGTCCGGGGATCAGATTAGTCTGAAAGGTGCTAGAGAGAAACAAATCCAGCTCTGGAGCAAGCCCTTGGTGGTTTGTTGTTTTTTTTTTAAATTAATGGTAAATTATTTAGAAATGGCCGATGGAAAATATCTGACGGTGGAGTGGCCAGGACTGGAGGTGGGTAATATTATATCATCAACCATATATCAACAGATCATATTGATATGGATATATCAACATCATACCATGAACCGTATATCAACATATCATATTGATATGGATATATCAACATCATACCATGAACCATAAATAAATATATCATATTGATACATCAATATATCATTGTGATATTGGTAATAAATCATATATCAATACCATCAACCCCTTTATTTCACATCAAGGCAGCTCCAACAAGTCTTTTGTGCCTCATACCTGGGTCTGTCTCCAGCCAGGGTTAGCAAGCCTAAATACATGACCAAAAAAAATCCCACTTTCGGGCTGATCAAAGTATTTCATGAATCATGTGGATGCATCTGATTATTTTCATTGGAAAAAAACTCCTGTGCTTGGAGAAAGTCAAAATCCTTTCCTATCAGAAAGGAAATGTTAAATTATTTAATCTCACAGAGCACTTTGCTTTTGACCTGTAGTGATCTGTCACCTTCTGCCCCATCGAGAGCATGCGCAGTTTGGGGCTGAGCAAATCCCTTTTGCATATTTTTCTATGCTCTTGCACATGGAATCAGTCACCCGCACACCCTGCTCACCCTTCACATTTAATTTCTTCCCAGATTTCCACAACGGACATCATGCTCCCATCACACCAAGGCTACATGTTCCTGGTAAGCACTTTGGGACTCTCTGGAGATAGGAGATGTATTATTTATCCTACGTTCATGCTACGAAGAGCTGAATACGAAGCCAGTTATTATTGCAGATGACATTGCAGTATAAATCAGTCTACTGGGTCTGTTGGTAGGGGTGGCAGTGCTGGGCCAAGAGAAGAAAGCAAGTTGGAAGAGTCCTCCCTAACCCAGAAGGACTGCCGTCATCCTCAACTTTCGGAAAGCACCTTGCTGCTCCCTGACCATCGCTCCTGGACTTCATTTTGGATTTCTTAGCATCGCTCAGCCAAACAGGGGAAGACACAAGAGCGACCTGTCATGGGAGGAATGGGATGCTCGGATGGGTTTAGAGCCCCCTCCAGCCCTTTGCTGCTAAATCTGGGACTGATGTTGATCACAATTTGTCTCCTCCTGCTTTATAATCGCTTCAGAAATAAATCAATGGAGAAAAAAATCACCACCTGGTACACATGATGGGCAGACATGTGTTGTGCCCAAGGGCTTTGCCGGGGAGAGCGGAGAAGGAGTGGGTGCAGGGAGAGATGCTGGGTTTGATACGCACCCAGAGCAATGAGAAAAGCAAAACCGGACCAGTGACTGCGCAAGATTATCTTAGTTTACATTCAATATTGATTTTCATTATTTTATTTTGCTCCTTATATCCCTGTTTCCCGTGTTGCTGAACATTCTCATTACCCATGATGGAAAACCCACGTGGATTCAGGCCGGTGCAGCTGCTGTAGCTGCTTGCTGAGCAGCTCCTGGCTGTTTCAATGGCAAAAAAAGCCGGAACACCACAAGAACAGGCTGACTCTCAGGTCTGCTCTGCCATTTCCAACATCTCTCCAGGCAGGTACCTCCTCCTAGCCATCCTCAGGGGGTTTGCCCTGCCTGCACAAAGCTCTGATCTTGGTTGGCACTATATCTCCTTGGACCTAGCCTAGGTCAGATCCAGGTGGGCTTTCTAAACCTGGCTCTAACATGACAGCTACACCCTGGTCTTCTCCAGCCTCCTGTTCCATCAGCCTGCACACCCCCATGTGTAGTCCTGGCACATGGATGTCTCCCTGCTATGACATCACGTGGAGTTGAAGCAGAGGGAGATGGAAACACCTACCCAAGGTGAAAGGCTGATTGCTCGCATAGAAAACCTAAAAGCCCTGAAGCTGGTAGATAGCCAAGCCTACCAGACTACTGGCTATTGCCTTCCCTCTCATTTCCATATGAAAATCCATTGCCAGAAACATTTTCCCGAGGATATGTATTTCTAGGCCAAGTTTCCATTTCAATCAATTGCCATTTCCTGGGGAAAAACCCACAAACAATCCAATGCCCAATATTCCCAGCGAGCACTGCTCTTCTGGATGCTGCTGCCCACAGACAGTGATGTTGGTGGAGGTGGCAGAAGACAGCTTCTTCTCTCCCATCCCTGCAAATATGAGCGGCAGCCCTTTGCCTGCTGTACGGATGCGAGAAGGCATCCGGAGAGCAGGAAGAAACAATTTCATTGCAAGACTTCCTCCACCACAGGACCAGAAGCATGGGTGACCACCATATGTTGCTTGCCCAAAAGGTGACTTGGCCCGCACAAGGCGCAGCATCCAAGGGAGAGAGGTCTGGCAACAGCAAGAAGGTCAAGCAGATGTGCCAAAAACTGGAGCGATGCTGGGCACCGAATGTGCGCAGAGAACAGAAAGACAAACCAAGAGCTTTGTACGTGCCACACATGAAGGAATGGCCAAATGGGAACGCAAATTAAATTGATGGAAATTCATGTTCTACATGTCCCCTCTCCAAAGAGGCAGAAAGACAGAAGTCCATCTAACACCCTCCCTAGACAGCAACCCCCCCTGCATCGTGGTGATACAGTAAAACGCGCTCCCCCCAGCAGATCGTGAGCAGGTGAGAAGAGTCCTGTTTCCCCAGCATACACCATTATCATGGACCAGTTATGACAGCCACTGCTTTTGTCTACCCCCCCAACTTTGCTGTCGCTGATGGTTTTGGAGCAGAACAATCAACCAGTACTTTGTATACCAATAAAAAAGTCGCTCAGAATAATTAGCACATACCCAAATTATTTCTGTCTGGGTTGCAAGCAGAAACCAGGTGCGAGCCCTTCAGCCAGGTGATGCAACCAACAGCGTATTCAGGGACCATGACTGAACTTGGTACCTCTGGTGCTGAGATGGACCACAGGCAAAAAGAGTAGCAAAGACCCGCCACTGTAAGACCCTCCAAGTTGACTTCCCCTCGTGCCATGGGGATACTGCCACAAGCAACCCACTCATTTCCAGATGGGTGTGAGGTACCAAAATTCCATGTAAAGCTCATTAAATGGGAATCAAGAGCAACTTGACAAACCCCTCAGTGCCACGTTATCTATGGTAACCGTTAAAGATGTAAACAGACAAAACTGCAGGTACACCAGGTACCGTTCTCCTCACATCAACTGGCTTCAAAAGGAATTTGGTAACAGCTCAGCTCCTGTCCAAATTCATGGTAAAATCAGGAGGGGTGAAGTTGCAGGCATCTAAGCAACTAATTTTATCTCATTACCTGCAACATGTTGAGGAGCAGACTCCGGAATTTGGTTCCTTCCACCATGAAGAGGGCCATTTTGTCACAGAGCTTGGCTGCCGTGGAAGCAAAGCTGCGGTCTGTCACCGCTTTCTGGTAAATGGTCTTGACTATCTCCCCCAGCATCTCCTCAGAGTTGGTAGAGTTCTGGGCCTCCTCCATGAAGGTGGTGAGCTTGGAGTCAACGTCACTACTGTTGTTCCTCATGCTGTTGAGGATTTCAATTAATTTGTCCATTTTGTTCTTTTCAGGATTGGTGGTTTCCACCGTGACTTCGTCCTGGTCCGTGAAAAGGGAAAGACAAGGCGTCTGTTACACAAGGAAAAAACAGACATATCAGCCCTTGTCCTTCCACAAACAGCAAAAGGGGAGGGGGATTGTGGAGATATATAAACAGACATAGAAAAATCAAAGCATTTTTCAGAGGCACAATGGTCTCATCTCAGCATTGAAAACCACAAGTGAATGAGTTCTGACCCAGAAATGTTCTCTAGCCCCATTTCCTGCAATACTCAATCCCAGAGTCCTCCCCCTTGGCTCAGAGGGAAGATGTGCTTGAGAGTCCTGAGCCAGGATGCCAAGATCTAACCACCCCCAACTGCCTTCAGCATCTTGGACAGGTTTCTGGGAGTGTCTGCAACATGGCAATAATAGACATTTTTTTGCCCCTATTTTGAAAATGCACCGATGTTTGCAAAATGCTCAGATAACAATCCGACAAAAATATCTACTTTTTAATATATATTTAACGATCTAAATTGAGATCAAAGGTGGCACGTGATCCCGGCATTAGAAAAACTCCTAACTTTCCCATCTCTTGGCTGTTAAACTTTTCACTTCACGTCTTTATCGTAGAATTTATTGCTTCTTTTCAACGTTTAGTTACACATTTGCCCCTTTCCTCCAGTGTAAGGCATGCATCCTGCTTGCTCTGCTTGCTCTGGTCTGCTCCCTTCTCCTCCTCTAGCTCAATACAAACCTGTAGCAAGTTTTCAGACAACCCCAACGCCAACCAGCGGTTGGAGTTGTTGAAAACTCCCGACAGGAGGCCAGTTGTGTGGAGGACACCCACCCAAGAGTGGGTGCTTGTGTGATGCGTTTCTTGTAAGACTATAAATCTGCAGGGAGAGCATTAAAATGAATACTCTGAAAGTCTCTGCTATACTCCCATTGCTTTAAAGAACGTAAAAATAACTAACAAAATCTCTTCCTCCCCCTCATGCCCCATACATAAATAGTAAATGCACATGCATTCAAAGGTATACATTTCCAACATGCACTCCCATGGAATCGTATACGTTCAGGTTATTTTTGCTACGCATTTTGGAAATCTCATTGGAGAGACCCCCACAGATGCATTTTTCCAGTCTGACAAAAGAATCTCAAGAGAAAGAATCTGAGTTTCACAGGGGGCAAATGAAGATATCATCTCCGAATTCCTCAGAAATCTGAGGCTGAATATTGTTTCCAAAAAGGATTTCTCCTCCATCACTTGCATGCAATAGCTTTGTTATTGTTGGGTGGTTGGAAGGAAGAGGGAAAGTTAAGGGCGTTTCAATTAATTGCTGAGATAAATGGATATCAACTTTTAAGTAGCTGACTCCAACTATTCAGCGCTCAGAAGTCAAAGCTCTGTAATTGTGGAGACAAATTGGCTTTTTTAGGCCTCTTTGCAAAGCTGATGACCTCTGCAGACCGGGAGACAGTCAGTTGGGATCAGCCCCTGGGGAAGGAGCACCTGCATTGCAGCTCACATGAGCACCAGCCTTCCCAAAGGGTCTTTGCATGGGTAGGGGGAAAGTTCCCAGTCCTTCTTAGAGAACACGTGCTGGTAAGTAACCTCAACCAAGGAGGTGAGCATTGTGTCAATAAAAGGTCTTCCGAAAAAGCACAAAGACACTTCAAGAGAAGTGTTGGCACTGGGAGATTAAGATAAGTTGGGTGCATTCATGGAAAGGTCCCTTGAGCCCAACCCACCCTTTGTATGGAGAATGGCCAATAGCCAGACTCTTAGAAAATGGGAAACTCAATGTTCCCCTAAGACATAGTACCTTTTCTTTTAGTCTCCTCCGCAGCCTGTCTTTGGAAGACTGAAGCAAATTGATCTTGGGTCTTTCCCCAATGCGCTCATGAATACTGTCTTTCCGCTTGGTCTCTGACTCTTGGATGTACTGCTGAGACTGCTTCTCTACAGCCTCCGGGCCCCGGTGGGTCTCCACAGGAATATGCACCGTGCAGACGGAGGTGTCCTCGATTTTCAAGTTCTCAGTCTCTTTGGCATTTCTGTGCGTTTCTTTGTCGTTGGGTGAGTGCTTCTGGTTATGGTGCCATCTCCGGTTCTGGCTATAGCCGTGGTGGCCCGTCCTGCCTGAGGAGTGAGGGGCCTGGCCTCCTTGGTAGAGTTTCTGGTGGTCCCTGTTGTGTTTGGTGCCACCTTGTTGATGATCTGTGTGCTGCTGAGACTTGTTCCCACCAGGAAGTCTCTGCTGTCGCCTAGAAAGTCAAAAGAAGGCATTAGTACACCTTGTCCTCCATGGTCCTGTTTGGTCAACACATCCATCCCACCAAACACCCTGGCCCTTGGCAGGTGGGCTCTGTGAGTCTCCCTACCACAAAAGGGGAGCCAATTTCTTGGCATCTAACACAACCTAGTACCAATGCTTGCCTCTCAATCTCTCTCAATAACAGGCATATTTCAGCTGAAGGTTTTCACGAACAGTTAGATAACACAACTTTGGTTCCCAGGAAAACCTCTCCCAGGTTTCTGTGTTACTTCCACATTAAACCAGGGAAGATCTGGTTACTCCCAGCTCAGCAGCGGGAAGTCAGGTAGGCAAGAAATAACAGGAGATATTTTCTTCTGAAGACCTAAGGAGCTCCTGATAAGCCTGGCCTACAGCATCAATTGTTCCTCTTGCTTGCCACTTCTTCTGTACCAACATGGCCTGGTTTGCAGCGCATCATTTTAAGCATATTGGGAATTTCTAAAAGAGCAAAAAAGCTAAAAGGAGAATTACCAAGTAAAACAGGTGCCCACATCAAATGGTTTTGTTTGACCTTTCTTTGTGCGTGCCCTTCATCATTACTACACTGGGAGAGGATGTGTGCATGGATGAAGAAGCTGAGGACCAATGCATGGCTCTGGCAGCACGAGGAGCCAGGACCATTGCCTCTGGATAGGAGGCTGGGTAAATATAGCTTTAAGTGGATAACATGGAAATTCAACAGGCACAAAGAAGAAGAATTTACTGCAAATGGTTTGCTCGAGACAGTACAGCGGCTCAGAAGGAGTGAGCAAGCCCCTGTGGGTTGGCTGTAACTGGTAGCTGAGATGTCTGGTCCCATAAAAAAACAATGGTTGAATGGAAGGATGCTTTGGCAGCCTTGGACATTTCAGATTTCCACACTGTCTGCAGCATGGCTCTCCCTAGCAGAGCAGGCTGAGCTGGCACGCCATCATCAAGGATGCATTTAAGATGAAGATGGTCCCAGCTTTGACTGCCTTCGCCTGGGACTCTGGCCTGGTCAGTCCTAAGCATGACGGCAGCTCCCTGCCTGCCCACTGCCTTTTTGACGCTCTGTATTGGCTCTGAGAGCACACGGGATGCTTTAATGCTCGGCTCCTTACGAGGCTGCTGGGAGCAGTCTTGGTGGCTCACAAGGGAGATCCCCCCAACATCGTCCCTTGAAACAGGGAAACAATCGGGAGTGCAGCAGCAACCACACCAGTCTGCATCTGTACTGGCATTGCAGCCGTTATAATCCCCCTGCTCAGCCTCCTCCCTTACCTCAACCCCTCGCCTCCATTCAGATAAATAGTGTTTATTTAAAACCCGTCGCATAGCAATTAATTTTATTTTCATCATCTGCACCACGCGGCTAAGGGCGCTCGGGCAAAGGAAGGGGCCATTCACAAATACATTTCAATGGTCAGCGGCTAAACAGTCTCCAACCCTGCCTGCCAAAACCAGCTGCCCATCAAATCCGTATTCCTTGGCATTCCCAGGAATTAAAACCTATTTTCCGAGGCCAACTGGCTCTTAACCATAAAGAGCAAGGGCTCGTGTTTAGAGAACACAGGACGAAGAGGCTTGTTCGTGGTGGCAATGGAAGGAATTTGCGTTTCGTCTCAGACCACTGGATCCGGTTTTCTGAGATATTCAACGAGAGGTTTTATTTTATTTATTTATTTTTTTTTGCAAGCTGAATGGCAGGGAATTAAAAAAAAAAAAAAAAAAGGAGATGGGGAAGCTTTCCTGTTTGCTGGAGCTTACAAGCATTTTATGAGTACAGATTCTCCACATCAAGTTTTCCTGGCATTTCTTTGTTTCCTCTCCGTAACGCAATCACATAAACCGCTTTGTAAAGAGCAATGCTTATTACAAGGGGAATGTCAAAATAAAAGTTAAACCCCTTATCTAGTACTGAGCTCTCGCACGCTCAAGTGTGCAAGAGTTTTGCTGGTATAATTCAGCGTTTGCTTTCTGTGGTTTTGCTCTTCTCTCGGCTCAAACATCTGAGTTTAACTGTTTGGGAGCACTTTTATCCTTGGGTTATTAGCCGGACAGGCTGCTACTGTACTTAAGCTGCAAATACTGCACAGAAATGACAAACGTTGCACACAGACACAGCTTTAATTTAAACAGAAGTAAGGCAAAACACCTGGAAATGAGCTGGGAACCAGCCTCTGCTGTAAATTCCCGCAAGAAATGCATGCCAGGGTATTTTTTGCCTAAAGACATAGTGATATTACAAACCAAACCGTTTCTGTTTAAGGACTGTGAAAGGGAAAAAAAAAAAAAAAAAAGTCTAAGATTACAACAAAACACTTAAGCCAATGTGGAATGTGCAAGATGGTTCAGTTTGGGGCTTTTGCAATAGGACGGGGAGGGGACAGGCAGCTCCGTCCCTGTGCAGGATGGCTACAAGGCAATATCCCCACGGCAAGGGGCAAAGCAAACACAAACTGAAGCTCTGCAGTCCCTGACCACAGGATGGAAAACACCAGGGTTAAACATGTTAGGAAAATAATAAAAAAAATTGCAAGAACTAAAAGGCAAAGGAAACAGAGTGGCAAACAAGAAGCAATGTCCGTGACTTGGCAGCAGGCAGGGGTCTCGGATGATAATCCAGCATTCAGGCAAAGACTCGTCGTGTGCTTTTATCTTCCCAACACCCCAGCGAAGAAGAAAAGCCAAGAAGAAATAGGACTCTGCAGCAAAGAAGAGCCAAAGCAGGGAGAATGGAGCCCAGATCTTTCAACTTTTAGGCCTGCACAGCATTGCGAAGCCCGGGAGGTTGGGATGACCCATCCTTGCTCTCAGGTGTGACCAAGGCGCTGGGGACAAAGAAAGCCCCAGGAAGGGACAAGATGGGGACAAGGGCACCCCACCACATCCATCTGCTGTGGGTTGAGTTGATGGCAACAACCTTGTGCTTGCTCGAAGGCAAGAGAGCCGAGATGGTGGCCTGGAGTGACCTGTCAAGCTTAGGGAACCAGACCTTGTAGGAACCCAAAGGCACGTCCCAACCCAGGGTTGTAATGCCAAAGGAAGGAACAGCTGATACTTGAATCACACAGCAACATCTCCAAGAAAAGGAAGAATTCACCCCCAAAAACATGCCGCAGCTATTGGGAAACCCTTCTTCCATCCCTCTCTGCTCATCCTTTGCTGCAAGGACACGGTGCCTCGTGGAGGACCCTGCTTCAGTTAAAAGAAAAAGTACCCAGAGAGCACACCGGTCTCCTACCTCTTGCCTCTGTTTAATGTTAAATAACTATTTTCACTTCAAAAGCCAAATTCTGATTCAGCTCAAAGCTCCCCCCAACTTGAGTGGGACTGGGGATTTGGCCATCAGCCAACATGGGAACTTAAAGAGATGATCAGAGTTACTAAGAAACGTCAGAAGAACAAAAAAACCAAAGGGAGACAGGGTTGCCAAGCTGGAAATAGGATGGTATTGCCTCTGCTATCCTTTCTCCGCAGATTTTTTTATTTAATTAACTAAATGAGATACCTTTCAACAGAATTTAGATCTGACAAATGTCTGCTCTGTCAGAGGAGCCTACGCAAACAAATCTAAGGCTTCAGCTGTCTCGGTGATTACCAGCCTACGTGCTCAGAAATACGGGATTCCTGCAAGTTTTTACTACATCGTTTGCTCCCAAGGAAAGGGGCTGGAAGGCACAAGGCTGGGGAAAATAACTCCAGACACGTGGACAGCTGTGGTCTATAACACAGTTGCTCCGTCCCATCAGCCCTGCTCATATCCCCCCCGCCCCGTCCCGAGTGAGACAAGTCCTCCGAGAGCCCCCAACCATTTGTCTGGCATGTGCAGAGCTGGAGGACAACGCGGGGTTACATTCTCCTGGTAGTTGCACGGAGATTTGGTTGGGCAGTTCCTAAAATACTGAGAGATAAGGAGCTACATCTCTTAACAGCACAGGTCCACTGGATATTCTGGCTCTTGCCTTTGAAGAACCTGCTTAGACGCCATCCTTGCCCTCAATCCCAGGCAACTCTTCCATGGGACAAGTCCTCCCAGGCACACTAAGCTCCTTGCAGAGGAGGGGCGTTGGGTTTGTCCTGCTTTTGTGCAGAGCCTGATATCTGCTGGGCATGGCCAGGGCCACCCAGCAATTAACAACTAATACGGACTTGCAGCCACTCGTGCAAGAAGTTGAGAATGAAGAACAGTGCCACGGGCAAGGTCAAACCTTCTGCTTCACCTTCGTCCTTCTGGTGAATGAAAACATTCCTCACTGCGTTTTGTGGACAGAAAGTTTCTCTCCATTCTTTCTTTTCCCAGGCAGGATTTAATCTCTGTACCAGGAGCAGGCCCAGGAATACGATGCTAAATCTCGGGAGCATCTCATGATCAGCTTTGCTACTACCACACCTGCGATAAATCAGCAATTGCTGTTACCAGGGCCAGATTAAGATCTGCTGTAGAAATGGACTCTGTGGGACCCTCAGCCCCCATGAGGACCCCAGATCCCACTTAGCCAAAGCTGGAGGAGCAGAGGACCCCAAGGCATGCAGCGACTGCACCTGCGAATAGAAGACTGGCGAGGCTGGCTCTACGTGATGAAGGGCCACCACTCTCCCACCTTCTTTTTGAAAAATCCTGCAGTCATTTTCCATTAAGAGGGAGGGAAATTAAATAAAACTCTTAGAGTCACCACTGAAAATGTTAAACTCGGAGATGGATGGCAGCTCGGCTCTTCCCTGCTGCCCAGGATACCCAGCCTGAATAGGGAAAGGGCAGGAAGAAGCAAAGTCCTCCAAAACACCCCCTGAACAAACCAATTTCTCCAGGCCCAGCCTTTCTGAACTAAGCATATTCCAGCCAGACCAACTGCTTCACCTTGTGTGATGCAGCTCCACAAATAAACAGACTGGCACCCCTAAGCGGGCACTGCTGGAGGCGTTTGGGCATGGCAGTGCTGCTGCGGTCAAAACTGCCCACCGTCACTGGCTTTGGGCACCTCA